TCACACCACGCTGCACTCCAGCCTGGGTGAAAGAGTCAGATTCCATTTCAAAAAAAAAAAAAAAAAAAGGAGAAAATTTATTGAAACATATAATTTTTACATATTTATGGGGTTCATGTGATATTTTGCTTTGTTTCATACATAGAATGTACAATAATCGAGTCAGTATGTTTGGGGTATCAATCATGTTGAGTATTTAACATTTCTATGTGTTGGGAAAATTTCAATTCTCTTCTAGCTATGGAAATTTATAGTACTTTGTTAACTACAGTCACCCTGCTCCGCTATTGAACGTTACAAGTTATCCCTTCTTCCTGACTGTACGTTTGTACTGATTACCCAACTTCTCTTCATCCCACCTCTCCCACCCAAATACACCCTTCCAATCTCTGGTATCATTCTCTCTACCACTGTGAGATCAACTTTTCTAGCTCTCACATATAAGTGAGGACATGTGATATTTGTCTTTCTGTGTCTGGCTTATTTCACTTAACATAATGACCTCCAGTTCCATCCATGTTACTGTAAACATTATTTCATTTTTTTTTTTTTTTAAGACAGAGTCTTGTTCTGTCACCAGGCTGGAGTGCATTAGTGGGATCTCGGCTCACTGCAACCTCCACCTCCTGAGTTCAAGCAGTTCTCCTGCCTCAGCCTCCCAAGTAGCTGGGACTATAGGCACGTGCTGCCATGCCCAGCTATTTTTGTACTTTTAGTAGAGACAGTTTCACCATTTGGCCAGGATGGTCTCGATCTCTTAATCTCATGATCCGCCCGCTCCAGCCTCCCAAAGTGCTGGGATTACAGGCCTCAGCAACCATGTCCAGCCAACATTATTTCATTTTTTATGGCTGAATTCCACTGTGGAGATATATATATATCTCATTCACGTTTTCTTTATTCATTCATCTGCTGATCGACACTTAGATTGATTCCATGTCTTTGCTATGTAAACATGGCTACTGTAAACACAGAGATGCAGGTTATCTTTTTATATACTGATTTATTTTCCTTTGGATAAATTCCAGGCAGTGGGATTGCTGGATCACATAGCAGTTTTGTTTTTTTTTTGGGGGGGGTGGGGACGGAGTCTTACTCTGTCACCCAGGCTATAGTGCTGTGGTGATCTTGGCTCACTGCAACCTCTGCCTCCCAGGTTCAAGCAATTCTCCTGCCTCAGCCTTTCAAGTAGCTGGGATTACAGGCACCTGCCATCAAGCCCAGCTAATTTTCGTATTTTTAGTAGAGACGGGGTTTTACCACGTTGGCCAGGCTGGTCATGAACTTCTGACCTCCAGTGATCCACCAGGGTAGGCCTCCCAAAGGGCTTGGATTACAGACATGAGCCACTGTCCAGCCCACATCGTAGTTTTTTTTTCTCCATACTGTTTTCAATAGTGGCTGTACTAACTTACATTCCTATCTATCAATAGTGTGTAAGAGTTCGATTCGATTCTCTTTTTTTTTTTTTTTTTTGAGATGGAGTTTTGCTCTTGTTGCCCAGGCTGGAGTGCAATGGCACGATCTCAGCTCACTGCAACCTCCGCCTCCCAGGTTCAAGCTATTCTCCTGCCTCAGCCTCCCGAGTAACTGGGATTACAGGCATGCGCCACCATGCCCGGCTAATTTTGTATTTTTAGTAGAGACAGGGTTTCACCATGTTGGTCAGGCTGGTCTCGAACTCCTGACCTCAGGTGATCCTCCTGCCTTGGCCTCCCAAAGTGTTGGGATTACAGGTATGAACCATGGCACCAGGCCTGAATCAAACTTTCAAATAAGACTAAAACTGTTCCATCCCAAGTAGCTGACATGTTGTTTTTCCTGCCATTCATTACAAAAACACAAAAATTGGCCAGGCATAGTGGCTCATACCTGTAATCCTAGCACTCTGGGAGGCTTAGGTAGACAGAGTCCATGAATTCAAGACCAGCCTGGGCAAAACCCATCTGTATAAAAAATACAAAAATCAGCCGAACATGGTGGCCTGTGCCTGTAGTCCCAGCTACTCAAGAAGCTGAGATGACAAGGAGAAATACTTGACCCTGGGAGTTCGAGGCTGCAGTGAACCATGACTGTGCCACTGCATTCCAGCCTAGGCAACAGTGAGACCTTGTCCCACCCAAAAAAAAAAAAAAAAATGCTCTTGCCTTCAAATTCTTTTATTGCCCATCAAATTGTAAATGTTTTTTCAAGATTCTTGATCAGATTATTATGAGAAGTCACAAAACATACAGGAGATAATTAGGCTTCAATAGACTTTACTTGTCAGTAACAGAGTACAACTGAACTTTAAGTGGGAGCTGAAGTTTCTTTCTTGCTTTTTTTTTTTCTTTGAGAGGAGCTCTTGTTGCCCAGGCTGGAGTGTAATGGCACAATCTTGGCTCACTGCAACCTCCGCCTCCTGAGGTCAAATGATTCTCCTGCCTCAACATCCTGGGTAGCTGGGATTACAGGCATATGCCACCATGCCTGGCTACTTTTTTTTTTTTTTTTTTTTAGTAGAGATGGGGTTTCACCATGTTGGTCAGGCTTGTCTAGAACTCCTGACCTCAGGTGATCCGCCCACCTTGGCATCCCAAAATGCTGAGATTACAGGGGTGAGCCATCGCACCTGGCTTTTTTTTTTTCTTGAAACAGTGTCTTGCTCTGTAACTCAGACTAAAGTTGTGCCATCCAAGCTCACTGCAGCTTCAAACTCTTGGGCTGAAGCTATCCTCCTCCCTCACCATGCTCAGCTAATTTTTTAAAATGTTTGTTAGAAATGAGTTCTTGCTGTGTTTTCCAGGCTGGTCTCAAACACCTGAGCTCATGCAGTCCTCCTGCCTTAGCCTCGCAAAGTGCTGGGATTACAGGCGTGAGCCACTACACCCAGCTGAGAGCTGAAATTTCTTGCACAAAACTCAGCTGTATGCTGAAGTGTTCAGAAGTGAAATCTAATGACGTCTGCAACTTTGAAATACATTAATAAAATGGATAACTGAATGGATGGAGGGATGGATACACAGAAAGACACATGTAAAGCCAATAGAGAAAAATGTTATTTGTAGAATCTAGGTGATGCTAAAGGCCACGCAGCTAGTTGGGACTGAGCCAAGCCTGGAATCCAGGTCTGCCAGTTCAGGAGAGGCTATGTGGTAAAGTAAACACCCAGTTCCCAGTTTTTGTTTTTGTTTTGTGTTGTTTTGAGATGGAGTCATGCTTTGTAGCCCAGGCTAGAGTGCAGTGGCACAATCTTGGCTCACTGCAACCTCTGTCTCCCAGGCTCAAGCTATCCTCCTGCCTCAGCCTCCCGAGTAGCTGGTACTACAGGCATGCACCACCATGGTTGGCTAATTTTTTGGTATTTTTGGTAGAAATGGGGTTTCACCATGTTGCCCGGCTGGTCTCGAACTCCTCGCCTCAAGTGATTCACCCACCTCAGCCTCCCAAAGTGCTGAATTACAGGCGTGAGCCACCGCATGTGGCCCCAGTTCCCATTAATAATTATCTTGGGCTGGGAGCGGTGGCTCATGCCTATAATCCCAGTACTTTGGGAGGCCAAGGTGAGTGGATCATGAGGTCAGGAGTTCGAGACTAGCCTGACCAATATGGTGAAACCCCATTCTACTAAAAATACAAAAATTAGCTGGGCGTGGTGGTACGCACCTATAATCCCAGCTACTCAGAGGCTGAGGCAGGAGAATCCTTTGAACCCGGGAGGCGGAGGCTGCTGTGAGCCAAGATCATGCTGCTGCACTCCGGCCTGGGCAACAGAGTGAGACTCCATATAAAAAAAGGAAAAAAAAAAAAAGGCAGAGCACTGAAGCTCAACTCTGTAATTTCAGAACTTTGGGAGGCTGAGGCAGGCTGATCACTTGAAGTCAGGAATTTGAGACCAGCTTGGCCAACATGGCAAAACTCCATCTCTACTCAAAATACAAGAATTAGCCAAGCGTGGTGGTGGGTGCCTGTAATCCCAGCTATTCAGGAGGCTGAGGTGGGACAATCGCTTGAACCTGGGAGGCAGAGGTTGTAGTGAGCTGAGATCGTACCACTGTACTCCAGCCTGGGCAAGAACCCAAGGATTCAAAGAAGCAATCTTTTCAAAGATATATTTGAGTCACTGAGCACCAGTCCTGGAATGCAAATATGCTTAGTCCTACCTACCTCTTTTGTTCATTCCTTCAAAAGCTTTCTGTTCAAAAGTAGGGCTAGCAGATTTAAATGGGCCAGAAGACCTCTCTTAACTGTTGTGTTTTTGTTTGGTTGGTTAGCTGGATTTTTTTGAGACAGAGTCTCGCTCTGTTGCCCAGGCTGGAGTGCAGTGGTGCTATCTCAGCTCACTGCAACCTCCACCTCCTGGGATCAAGCCATTCTTCTGCCTCAGCCTCCCGAGAAGCTGGGATTACAGGCATGTGCCACCACACCTGGTTAATTTTTTTTTTTTTTTTTTTTTTTTTTTTACTAGAGCTAGGGTTTCCCTATATTGGCCAGACTGGTCTTGAACTCCTGACCTCAATCGATCCACCCACCTCAGCCTCCCAAAGTGCTAGGATTACAGGTGTGAGCCACTGTGCCTGGCCTTCTTAACTGTTGACATATGCAAGCATTACAATAAAAATTAGACTGGAAAGACTATGCCTTGATTTCAACTCTAATCAAAAGTAATTTATTCTCAAAAAAAAAAGTATGCTAGTGCAGAGAAAGTTAAAAAGAAAAAAAAAAAATGTAATCCCAGCACTTTGGGAGGCTGAGGCGGGTGAATCACCTGAGGTCAGGAGTTCGAGACCAGCCTGGCCAAAACAGTGAAACCCCATCTCTACTAAAAACACAAACAATTACTCGGGCTTGGTGTCAAGCACCTGTAATCCCAGCTACTCCAGAGGCTGAGGCAGGAGAATCGCTTGAACCCAGGAGGTGGAGGTGGCGGTGAGCTGAGATCGCGCCATTGCGCTCCAGCCTGGGCTACAAGAGCAAAATTCCATCTCAAAAAAATAAAAATAAAAAAATAGAAAATAAAAATCCTCCAGCATTATATTTACAGCTACCGGGGCCAAAGAATACATCTTTATCAAAAAACACAAAATCCAGTGAACATGCAAATATCTGAGGAAGAAAAAAACGCTGCAATCACTAATCCATACAGTGAAGGACTGGCCCAATTCCAGAGTTCATTAGGTTTGATGGTTTGTGCACTATGTGCAGAATGAGAGTGGTGCGGAGAGTTCCCCACCTGAGGCTGCTGTCCTCTCTATGGCCACCTGTAGGTCTTCAACCAAGCAACACCTGCACTCCAGGTGTCTACTTGCCAGATGTTTCACCTGCATTGGTAAAAGACAGAATCGTGGGATGAGCTTCCCCTCAGGAGGGACAGGCCCGAGGTATCCCCTCTATTCTAGAGGATCCAGAGTGGGTCCTTTAATAGACACTGGAATGTAGGGGACTCCATCTCAGAGGAGTAGGAGAAATACAGGCCAAAAAGTAGACCGCTCCAAGAGAGAGAACAATCCAGAAGAAAAAGCCAGTTAAGTGAATGGTTTTCAGTGAAGGAATCCCAAGTGGGATGGGGAACAAGGGGCCTGTGTGCAGGAGGTTCAGGAAATGGGTCAGCCCCCAGGCACCTTTTCAGATTCCTGCCTCCTCCTCCTCACAGTCCTCTGTGCCCTCACCTCTGCTTTTTCCCTAAGGCAGAACTCTGTTTTCCTTAAACGCCCACTTCCTTTCCTTATCCGTCAATGCACAAACCTGGCCTCTTCCTCTCCAGAGAAAACGCTGACCAGTTTGTGAGAACGCCATCACCCACACTCTTGAAATATATCTGGAAAGTGCCGGAAGTGAACTGGAGGATCCTGGCCTCCCAAAACGTGGACGGGCTCTGAAAGCCCCACCGCTGCCTGCTGCCACCCGCGCCTCTCACTGCAGGAGTGGTGGATCCACTGGTGGGCTTCCAGGGCAGACTTGCGCTTGAAGGCTTTCCCACATGCCGCGCAGGGGAAAGGCCGGCTGTCGGAGTGAATGCGCCGGTGACTGAGGAGGAGGGAAGAGTAGGTGAAGCGGCGGCCGCAGTCTGGACAGGGGTAGGGCTTCTCGCCCGTGTGTGCGCGCCTGTGGATGGCCAGCAGCGAGGTGTAGGCGAAACGGAGGCTGCAGTCGGGGCAGCTATAGGGCTTCTCGCCGGTGTGCTTGCGCTGGTGGATGGCCAGCAGGTAGGGGTAAGTGAAGCGACTCTTGCAGTCCGGGCACGCGTAGGGCTTCTCCCCAGTGTGAGCCCGCCTGTGGATAGCGAGGGAACCTCTCTGGCGGAAGTGGCGCCCGCAGTCCGGGCAGGGGTAGGGCTTCTCGCCGGTGTGGATGTACTGATGCTGGCGCAGATACTTGCGCTGGGAGAAACGCGCCGGGCACTGGGTGCAGGGGAAGGGCCGCTCCCCGGAGTGGACCCGCTGGTGGCTGGCTAGGAGGGAAGGGTAGCTAAAGTTGCGGCCACAATCTAGGCAAGAGTAGGGCGGTCTTCAGGTCACAGTGTCCTTAAGCCAGGGCTTCATGGGGCTCTGCCTGGGGCTGCTGCAGAGCTCTGGGCAGGTGGCGCTGGGCAACCACTCCTTGAGAGCCACTTCATGCGCCACCTCTTTTTGTTTTGGACAGTTCTTCACCCTTTCCTTATCCTCATTCCCATCCCTGGATCCTGAAACAAGGAAGAGGTTAAAATCAGAAACCCATCCCTGGATCCTGAGACAGGGAAGATGATAAAATCAAAACCAGCATATTCCAGGACCATGTCCTGCCTTGGAAGGCGGCAGGAATGGTTCAGAATATGACCCCCAGGGAGCACGGCTTAATGATAGGGGCCTCGTGAAGTCCTGAAAGCCAGCCTGGAGTAAAAGCAAATGCCACGGTCTGCAGGTTAACCCAAGAAGACTGAACACTGGAGATAATGAAAGAGGAGTCGGGCTGGGTGCTGTGGCTCACGCCTGCTTTCTGTCCCTGGCCTCTGCTGACAGTTCCAGAGCTCTCACTCTCGGGATCCTGGACCTCCAGGCTCCACGCTTCCACTTCTTCTTCCACCCAAGAGATAAAAGCGGATTTGGGGCCTGAAAATCCTGCGAAGGAGAAACACGGGGTTCGGCTGAGCGCACCGGAGGGGAGATGAGGCTCCTCCCTCGGCGCCCCGCTTCCAGCCCATTCGCTTTTGGGGACACCGATCCCCACTTCCCACCGACTACTGGGGGGGCCCGGCCTCACCCAGCACGCCCAGGTGGCCGCAGGTCTCCCGCATCATGTCCCGGTACAGGGCCCTCTGCGCGGGCCACAGGCAGCCCCACTCCTCGAGGGAGAAGTACACGGCCACGTCCGCGAAGCTCACGGCTCCCGACCTGCTTTCCCGCGTGCGCCGAGGCCGGGTCTCCCCGGTTACATGGGCCGGTCGCGGCGCCAGGGGCGGCCCCATGGGAAACCCTTTCTGCCTGGTAAAGAGAGGCTTCCGGGGAAAGTGGAGATGCCGGCGCTTTACTGTCTTTCCTCTGCCAAGTCCGTAGGGACCCTACTCCTTCCCTTAACCAAGATGGCGCCTTCCTGGCGTCAAGACCCCTCGCTTTTCCTCGGTGCCCTTACACACCTTGGGGAAACCAGCGGGGAAGCTGCCCTCGTAACACAACCAGATAGATGGCGTGCGTTGATTGGACACTACCGGGAGGCCCAGGGTAGAAGAAATGCTGTGATTGGGCGTTTTTTGGAGCGGTCTGTTTGAAAAGCTGAGGTTGAAGGACCTGAAAGTAGTCCGAGCTGAGGGGCCTCAGGGTCTCCTGACTCGCTTTTCCCGAACAGCCTCCTAGGAGAAAGGCTGTAGCCAGCTGACGCTACTTCCTTTTGCTACTGGGGTGAGTAAAGGTGAAGCGCAAAGCCTTGGGCGGCTGTGCAGTGAGCCGGTGAGAGACGGCAGATCCCAGCTCTGAGCTCTGCGTACTGTGGGCCGGGCCGGGCCAGCCCGAGGGGCTGCGGGAACAGGATCCTACTCAGGATTTAATTTGGCGTTTGCCCAGTGGTCACAGATGTCTTTCCTTTTAGAGACACAGAAGGCTAGGTGACTGCTCACAGGCGCAGAGCCGGGATTTAAGGGCAGCTCCTGGCCGGGCGCGATGGCGCGGGCTGGTGGTCCCAGCTAGTCGGGGGGCTGAGGCAGGATCATCGCCTGAACCCCGGAGGTGGAGACTGCAGTGAGCCGAGATCGCGCCCCCGCACCCCAGGCTGGGCGACAGAGCTGGGCGCCCATCTCTAAAAACAAAAAGTCATTTTCTCGCTTCCAGGTTCGGTTAAGGGCTTAGTGTAGGGCCCTACACAAAATACTATTATAATTATGAGTTTATAGTTGTTATAGTAATTTTTGATACCATCTGTGTCCTGTCTCAATCAGAAAACCTGTGTTCAAATTACAGCTGATGGCCGGGCACTGTGGCTCACGCCTGTAATCCCAGCCGTTTAGGAGGCCAAGGCGGGCGGATCACGAGGTCAGGAGTTCGAGACCAGCCTGGCTAACATGGTGAAACCCTCTCTGTATCAAAGATATAAAAATGTGGTGTGTGCCTGTAATCCCAGCTACTCGGGAGGCTAAGGCAGGAGAATTGTTTGAACCCGGGAGGCAGAGGTTGCAGTGAGCCTAGATTGGGCCACTGCACACCAGCCTGGGTGACAGGAAGAGACTCCGTCTCTAAATAAATAAATAAGCAAGCAAGCAAGCTGATAAGTGAGTAATAAAACTGCGAAATGAATCAGATAATCTCTTAAGACTGTTTTTCCGACCTTTCCAATCCAGTATTCATAGAAACAGAGGAGGAACATTTTAGATGTATAACAAAAAGCTGCCCATCCCCACTTTGAATTTGGCCGCGCACAGAGACTCGCGACTGTAATCCCAGCACTTTGGGAGGCTGATGTGGGTGGATCACTTGAGGTCAGCAGTTCAAGACCAGCCTGGCCAACATGGTGAAATCTCGTCTCTACTAACATACAAAGATTGGCCAGGCGTGTTAGTGCATGCCTGTAATTCCAGCTACTTGGAGGCCTGAGGCACAAGAATCACTTAAACTCAGGAGGCGGAGGTTGCAGTGAGCCACAGTCATATCATTGCACTCCAGCCTGGGCGACAGAGTGAGATTCGATCTCAAACACACACACACACACATACACACATATATGTAATATATTTATATATACAAAATATGTTCATTATATAAAAATATATTTTATATATTATATATACGTGTGTGCATATATATATATATGTATACAGATGGCCAATAAGGACATGAAAAGATGTTCAACATCATAAGTTATTAGGGAAATGCAAATTATACCCACAAAGAGCACTTAAAGCCCCTGAACTGAATTTAAAATGGCTGGGCTTGGTGACTCAGGCCTGCAATCCCAGCACTTTGGGAGGCTGAGGCGGGTGGATCACCTGAGGTCAGGAGTTGCAGACCAGCCTAGCAAACAAGGTGAAACCCCATCTCTACTAGAAATAAAAAAATTTGGCTGGGCATGGTGACTCATCCTGTAATCCCAGCACTTTGAGACGCCAAGGCAGGTGGGTCACCTGAAGTCAGGAGTGCAAGACCAGCCTGGCCAACGTGGAGAAACCCCGTTTCTACTAAAAATACACAAATTAGCCAGGCATAGTGGCGCATGCTTGTAATCCCAGCTGCTTGAAAGGCTGAGGTGGGAGAATTGCTTGAACCTGGGAGTTGGAGATTGCTGTGAGCTGAGATCATGCCACTGCACTCCTGCCTGGGCAACAGAGTGAGAGTCTGTCTCAAAAAATAAAAATAAAATAAAAATACAAAAATTTCCTCCTCGAGCATTGTGGCTCGAGCCTGTAATCCCAGCTACTGAGGAGGCTGAGGCAGGAGAATCACTTGAACCCAGGAGGCGGAGGTCGGAGGTCGCAGTGAGCCAAGATCACGACATTGCACTTCAGCCTGGGCGACAAGCGAAACTCCATCTCATTAAAAAAAAATTTGTTAAAATGATAAATTTTATGTTATTTATATTTTACGACAATAAAAAAAACACTATGAGATATCACTTTACATTCATGATGGTTAACAACACCACCAACAAACAGGAAAAAAAAGTGTTGGTGAGGATGTGGAAAAATTGGAACCCTTGTGCATTGCTGATGGGAATGTAAAATGGTGCAGCCACTGTGGAAAACAGTCAGTTCCTCAGTTAAACCCAGACCTACCATGTGATCCAGTAATTCTACTCATAGGTACCCACAAAAAAATGGAAAACAGAGATTCAAACAGATACTTGTATACCAGTGTTCATTGTGGTATCATTCATAATAGCAAAAAGGAGAGAAAAACTCATGTCCATCAACTGATGAATGAATGAACAAAATGTGTTCTATACAATGCAATATTAATAAGCCATCAAAAGGAATGAAATTCTGCTGGGCCTGGTGGCTCACACCTGTAATCCTAGCACTTTGGGAGCCCAAGGTGGGTGGATCACTTGAGGTCAAGAGTTTGAGACCAGCCTGACCAACATGGTGAAACCCTGTCTCTACTAAAAATACAAAGATTACCTGAGCTTGGTGGCTCATGCCTGTAATTCCAGGCATGAGAATCGCTTGAACCCAGGAGATGGAGGTTGCAGTGGGCTGAGATCGCCCCACTGCACTCCAGCCTGGGAGACAGAGCGAGACTTCCTCTCCAAAAAAAAAAAAGGAATGAAATTCTTATACATGCTACACCATGGATGAATCTTGAAAACATTATGTTAAATCAGTGGTCCCCAACCTTTTTGGCACCAGGGACCAGTTTCATGAAAGACAATTTTTCCACAGACCAGGATGATTTTGTGATGAAACTGTTCCACTTTAGATGATAAGCATTAGTTGGATTCTCATAAGGAGCGCACAACCTGGATCCTTTGCATGTGCAGTTCACAGTAGGGTTCACATTCCTATGAAAATCTAATGCTGCCGCTGATCTGACTGGAGCAGGAGCTCAGATGCTAATGCTTGCTCGCCTCCTTCTGTGTGGCCCAGTCCCTAGCAAGCCACGGACTACTACTCGCCTGTGGCTGGGGACTGGGGACTCCTGTGTTAAATAAGCCAGACACAAAAGGAAAAATATTATTTCTCTTATATGAAATATCTAGAAAAGGCAAATTCATAGAGACAGAAAGTAGAATAGAGGTTATTTGTGATGAGGGGAAGGTGAGTATAAAGAGTTACTGTTTAGACTGGGTGCAGTGGCTCACTCTTGTAATTCCAGCACTTTGGGAAGCTGAGGTAGGAGGATTGCTTCAAACCAGGAGTTTAAGACCAACCTGGGCAACATGGTAAGATCCTGTCTCTACAAAATTTTAAAACGTGCTGTGTATGGTGGCATGCGCCTGTGGTCTCAGGTGGTTGGAGGCTGAGGTGGGAGGACCACTTGAGCCCAGGAGGTCAAGGCTGCAGTGAGCTGTGTTTGTGCCCACTGTACTGTGGCCTGGGTGACAGAGCAAGACCCTATATCAAATAAAAAAAAAAAAAGTCAGGAGGGAGGGAGCAAAAAAGTTTCTATTTAATAGACACAGAGCTTCTGTTTGAGATGATGAAAAACTTCTGGAAATAATGATGTTACACAACAGTGTGAATGTACTTAATGCTACTGATACACTTAAATATGGTTAAAAAGTTAAATTTTACGTTATGTATATTTTATCACGCATACAAATCACAGTGTTGCAATATCCAAATCTTATTTCTTTAATACCACTCATAGGATTTGTACAAAAGATCTTGTGAGTATGTTTACATTATTTGCAAGAATGATCCATGTTTAATAGGAGACAGGGCTCGGCGCACAGGCTTACAAGACACAAGACGCCAACAGCTGTAGGCAAGACGGCCTGATCGTTTTGTGACATTGTTTCTCCCAGGTGCTCCTGTCCCTTTCTCAGAGACGTTGACATTAACTTTCATCTGTGTGTGTCAGTATTTCCTGCTCTTGCTTCCAATGATATCCTTCAAACTAGTAACTTATCTATGTTCGTTGTTAGAATTTAATTCTCACAGGAGGCCAGGCACAGTGGCTTACACCTGTAATCCCAGCACTTTGGGAGGCCGAGGTGGGCATATCACCTGAGGTCAGTTGTTTGAGACCAGCCTGGCCAACATGGCGAAACCCCATCTCTACTAAAAATACAAAGAATTAGCCAGGTGTGGTGGCGCATGCCTGTAATCCTAGCTACTTGGGAGGCTGAGGCAGGAGAATTGCTTGAGCCTGGGAGGCAGAGGTTGCAATGAGCCGAGATCGTGACATTGCACTCCAGCCTGGGTGACAGAGTGAGACTCTGTCTCAAAATAAATAATAAATAAATGAATAATTCTTACAGAATGAAAATACTTCTTTTGCATTTTCCCAATGTCTTTACTGATTATTCTTGGGATTTGGAAAAAACGTAAGACTGGGCGCAGTGGCCCACATCTGTAATCCCAGCACTCTGAGAGGCCAAGGTGGGAGGATTGCTTGAGCCCAGGAGTTCGAGACCAGCCTAGGCAACATGGAGAAACATCATCTCTACAAAGAATACAAAAAAAATTAGCTGGATGTGGTGATGCATACCTATAGTCCC